CAAATACCATGTTTATGCACGTAAGTCCACTCAAGATCTGGGAGCACAAAACCTGAAGCCTTCCTAACACCAAGACTTAATATGCCATCTTCTTTCCCTCCATTATTCCTCTTTAAAGGAGGGAATGAGACCTAGAATTCTAGAACTGCCTATCTTTGGTTTGTGTAACACTACCAGCTACAGAACATAAAATAAGAGATTGGCTCTTCCACAGATGGCAGGAATGATTAGGAATAAGGAAATTACTATGGGATAACTATAGGATTATACATTTGGGAAACAAACACTGAGCAGATTCATGACAGAAAATGATGAGCCAGGTACTGATATGCATCCTATGTCAATCATTTGTCCAGTTTTTAATGGGGAAGCCGGGCAGAGAAATCTGTACTAAACATAGTTTACAGTAATGAGGAAATATATCTGAAATGAAAATCAGGAGTTCTGGGTTCTAGAAACAGCTGTACCATGAATCAGTTGTATTTCTTACAACTAAAGATTGTTGATGTGTAAAATAGAGGTAAGTTATCCCTGCAATTCCTTTCAGTTTTCACATTTAAATTTCCTGATTCTAAGCAAGCTTTTAGTTTGAAGGACATCTGTAAGGCAGGCACAGTTTGTTTTTGTTTTTTTCCTTACTCATACTAGTCTCAAACTGGAATGAATAGGGAATTGTGATACAGTTTTACCTGTTTCTCTACCTTTTGAGGTAATGCATTTATACTTCAAGCCCAGTTGATTCAAAACAGTAAAAGGTTTAGTTCATACCGATGATATATGTGCATGGTGTTCATATATATGTTTAATATATATATTCTTACATATATAATTTTTTGTCCTTCATATTTTATATATATATAATTTTTTGTTCATATATATAATTTTTTGTCCTCTATTGACTCCCAGAAACAGATAATTACCTTACGACCTGTTTGAAATAAATTAAGACACAGTATACTACATCTTTCTTCTTTGCTGACCTGAAATTCCTCTCCCTGACTCCTAAGGAGGTGTATCCATAGATCCATTTCCTTTTCCTTTCTCAACGACTCTATCTCAATGGCTTCATTCTTTACTTATATTTAACAAATCTAGTTTTCTGTCTCTGAACCTTACCAAGTTTAGATCTACCTTTCATCGTCATATTCTATCAGTATGTTTGAAGAACCAAGAAAAGCAAACTCTGAGCCCATGAATGATACCTGAAGGACCTCCACCCCTGATGTTTTTACAAGCTCAACCCCATCTCCATTCTGAAGATATCTCCTCTAGCACACCATGAATCTGACTTCCTGAATGGGGGGGTCATGGGGTACCAGGGGCAGAATAAGTGCCATGTTTGGCTGATAACTGAGCACATGTGCTCCCGCTTGCTTGCTTTTCTGGTTCTGACATGCACTCCCGTACTTCTGGAAGGAGACACATATGAGGAGGTACATGGGAGGAGACGTGTGGAGGAGAGACAGGTAGAGGTACTTGGAAAAGACACATGTGAAAGTTGTTCTTGGTCCTTGGGAGAAAAAATTGCAGGATTTATTTTGATTTTTTTTTTTTTTATATGGGACTGATCACAAAGATATACAAAGAACTCACAGGATTCAACAAAACCAAAGTAAACAATCCAGTCAAGAAATGAGCAGAAAAACTTAAAACATTTTTATAAAGAGGAAATACAAATGGCCAACAGGCATATGAAAAAATGTTCAACATCCATACAATCAGGAAAATGCAAATGAAAATCACATTGAGATACCACCTTACACCAGTGAGAATGGCACATACCAAAAAAACTAGCAACAACAAATGTTGGTGAGGGTGTGGTGAAAAAGGAACTCTCCTGCATTGCTGGTAGGAGTGCCAACTGGTCCAACCGCTATAGGAAGCTGTGTGGAGATTCCTCAGTCTACTAAAAACGGAGCTACCATATGACACAGCAATTCTATTCCTAGGGATCTACCCAAAACATTGATTCAAAAGAACACCTGCACCCCTATATTTATTGCAGCACTATATTACAATAGGTAAAACCTGGAAACCACCCAAATGCCCAAAAATAGATGACTGGGTCAAGAAGATGTGGTACATATACACAATGGAATATTATTCAGCGATCAAAAAGATACATCCATGCCATTCACAACAATGTGGATGGAGCTAGAAGGAATTATGCTCAGTGAAATAAGTCAGAAGAAAAAAGAAAATATTGGATGGTTTCACTTACAGGAGGAATATTGGGGAACCAAATAAGACATCAGTGTGGAAAAATAATAATATAACAAAAACAGACATTTATAAATCAGAGGAAGCCTGCAGGGGAGGAGGAAGTAAGAGGGGAATGAGAGAGAGGGAGGGAGGAGCACAGGGGACTGTGGTGATGGTGCACGGGTGCATTGGTGAAGGAAATTCTATGGGAACTACACCTGAGGTGGGTGGGGGAAAGCAAATATTGTTTAAAAATGAACAATGCTGTAAAAATTAAAAAAAAAAGAAAAAAAGAATTTGGGAAAAATTAATAAAGCATATCCATAGTGGGATGAAAGGGAAAAAAAAATTGAGATGGTTATTTTGAATGCTGAGTCTCACCTTTTGTATCCAATTTTCCGGGACCTGCCTAACTGCTCTCTGTGATTCCTTGACAGAAGTGCCTAAGTGGTGAGTTTTCAGGTCTCAGTTGCCCCACTTTGAGCCAAACCTGTTTAGATTGGAATTTGCCCAGAAGGGGCTAGGTATTTAAGATCCTTTCTTTTCTCTCCTCTACGCAAAAAAGCAAAAAAAAAAAAAAAAAAAAAAAAAAAAGCTATTAAAAAATTACCTCTGCCCTTGTGCATGCTGATGGCTGAATCTCCTTAGAGAGTGCATCCCTTAACAATTTTGGGTCCCTTCACACCCTTGGGCCATATATTAACAGACATTTCAAATTCAGCTTGTCCAAATGATTATTTCAAGACTTTTCTCATTGTTAATGTAACTATATTTATTGCATTATATTCTTCTGTTTATCTTAAAAGATTAATCTTTATTTCCCTATCCTGTTAATTCAATCAAACAATGATTAAGTCCCATTGGTTAAAGTGCTTCCCATACCAGATACCTGCTGCTTGTCTCTGTGGTGACTACTCAAGAAGCAGACCTTTCTCTTGTCTGAATTATCCAAGTCTCCTGACTTTCCCATTCTTGTTTCTCCTTAACATTTCAAACACTTGTGACAAATTCATTCTCTGAAGCAACAGTCTAGCCCATTCCATTCCCACATGTCAGTATAATTAATCCCTACTACCAGCAAAATAGCTGTAAAATTTAAGTACAGAACTCTTTATACTGGCATTTGCAGCAGTAAAACTTAGTAAAACTAAGTTTTCCAGATATTAAGTGCTATTCTATTACATCAACTTGGTATTCTAATCAAACTAAACTTCTTGCTGAACATTTAACTTGCTAATATTATGCCTTTGGTCCACTGAGATTCCTCTATCCCCCATATTTTGTAGATTCCATTACATTGTATAGATTCCACTACGATTATTACATATTCATGAATGTCCCTTTCAAATGCTGTCACTTCCACACCTTTTCCAATAGTTCTACTTAAATGTTTTCTTTTTTTTAAGTCCTCCAATATACAAAGCAATTCTCTTTATTTTTCATTTAAAAAATTATTTATGCATACAAGAACTGGGGTAAAGGCCAGAGGTGCAGGGTGGGTGAGAGGATTCACCAGAGACAGAGTGGGGAGCAGAACAGGTAGACTGACTGAAATACACTGCTGAGGGGAAAAGCAGGCGAGACAGGAGAGGTCTGCTGTGCCATGTGGGTCAGCTCCCTGGCGGGGGATCGAACTGGTGCACCGCTACAGTGGCTGCCTATAGCTTCATAGTGCTGAGACTTAACCCCTTGTGCCATCAGGGATGCCCCAAAGTAATTATCTTTAGACATTTGCTACAACTTCACAAGTATTTGACTTATAAGTACATTGATTTTATGCCCATCGGTCATTATGATACCCTGGAGATTAGTTTCGCTATCTGACGCTAATTTGAATATTCCTAAAGGCTTAAACTGGGGTATTGCATAGCATGGTATACAACAAATAAATTAAACTGATTTGTAATTGGCTAATTGTTATCAGGTTTATTGACTTATCTGAAATCTGATAGCCAGTGAGGAAATCAGGACTAACAAAATCAATAATCAAGGGTGAAATAAGATTGGACTTAGGATGAAGCTAAATTTTCGGGTGGTCGGCAGAGCCAAAGTACAAAAACACATGCTGCTTCTTTTATACACCAACATATACATAATTGTAAATTTTGAAAAATTTGAGTCAAATGATCTTGCTTTGAGACCTAGCAGAAGCATATCCTTTATTTAATCTCCTTGAGCTTAAATTTACTTATCTATAAGAAGTCAATAATAGCATAATCTGCTCACAAGGGATGTTAGATAGCAAGATAATTGTCAAAAACCAAACTATGGCTTGACACATAGTAAGTGTTCAATAAACACTAGTTACTGTGATTGTTATTCTCATCCCCCTTCATCAGCCAAATTAGACAATATGTTCCTGAAATCATTTTATATTAGAGATCCTATTTGTATTTGATAATCTGAACTGTCATTACAAAATAAAAATAATAAAAAATAAAACTACCAAAACCCAGCAACTGTGAAGAATTAAGTATTTAGGAATAATGTCTAACAGGAAAAACTGAAATTATGCTGCTTGAAAGCAAGGTTTGCCTTAAAAAAATTTAGAATTCAGAAAAAGACAGTGATTGCCCATTTTTATTTCCAGTGAGAGGTTTAACTTTCATAGAAAATTGGGTGTTAAAGTGCAGAAAATAAATCCCATGTCCACATTGGGACCACAAAAGGAAACATTTAAAGGATCCAGCTGCATAGTGTATCTCTGGGATGATATAAAAAAGACCTCAGTCAAATAAGGTGGGATCTGAGAATCTGGGGAGCTCCCACGGCGCCCTCTGATTGCTTCATGTTCTTACCTGAACTCTCATCCAGGCTCTCCTCAGAGACGTGCTCATCCTGATGGACCCACTCGCCATTGCATTTGAAAAATATCTGCATGGCTGGCCGTGCTTTGCACCTCAGTGCAATGGGATTGCTCTTAATGATATACGCATCATCTGGTTCCTCAATGAAATGAGGCAGTGTCCCAGGAGCTGAGGGGATGGAATCAGGAAGGACTTCACCATTGTCGGTTCCTGTGAAATTGAAGAGGACATTAGAGTCTATGATAGCAGCACAAACATCAGGTCACAAAGCACACCCCACACAAGCTCCTAAAAATCTGAGCCAGAAAAGTTTGCATCATGTTAATACAGCATGCTTGCAAGGCCTGTGCAGATCAATTATCTTTCAGAGGGTGAACACCAGCATAAAATGGTACCTTTAGTGGGACCCACATCTAGGGTTTCTGGACAAGTGAAAATGATGACTAGGAGACCCCTCAAACTACAGTTGTGAATCTGCTTCTTTGCTAAAAGAATGGATGTATGTGTCTATGGGGTAAGAGCTGAATCCCAGATTCACTCTGGCAAATGGTCACATCACAGGATTCAATGAGGCCCCCAAGCTGCCTCAAAACTTTGAAATAATGATGGGAATAGGTTGTATTATTCCATAGATGTGTGAATAATGGTGATATTGGTGGAGGTGTTAAGTCATAAGATATGTCAAAAAGGTCCAAATGGTCCACCTTTATCTATGAAACTCTGGAGATTATCTGATATTCTAACTTGGGTAGGTTTTCCTCCAAAAGATTCACCAATTTTCCATTCCTTCTAAAATGAACACAAATTCTGCTTTGTTCTGTTGGCCTTTGGCCCATCATTCTCTTTCCCATCCCTCCCCCCATACTATGAGTCACAATACCAAGCCAAAGAACTAAAATCACTAAAATAACTATGATGTGTATTTTAGTTAAGGACCCACAGCTTTTTCTCCATAGGGAAGGAATATTTAGATATTTTCACCTGAATTTAAGGAACTCATGAGCAAAGGAAACACAATAAAAAGAAAAGGAAAAGCCAAGACCTTTGCTTCAGTGCTCTTTTACTGCAATTATCATGGACTTAAGTCCCATTGAGTTAAGGGAAGATATGACTGCAGAGGAAGGAGGAGACAATCAAGAGGAATGCGATCTTGAGCCTTCCAATGACCATTCCAGAGAGAGAACAAAGTAAAAAGGATTTCAAAACCAAGATCCATTGTGTCCTCAAAAGATTTGTTTCTACTCAAAGCAAACCAGTCTGTAGGACTAAGCTGGATAAAGGAAACTAGTGAAGCCTTGGGAGAACAATCCAGGTCACTGGGAGAGATTTAGGAGACAGGGTACATCTATCCTGTGACCTAACCTGGCTTTCTGTACACCTTCAGGATAATTCTGAACTCACACAGCCCCTAAGTCACACCAATCCATAACCTAAGTCAGTGAGCAGTGTCAAAGGTGAACATAATTCACCATATTATGGCTAATGTCCTTTAAGAACTATAAGTGGGCACAGGAGGTATGACTGCTTACAGTTACATTTTGTATAGGTAAGGAAGAAAATACAAGATGCTGAGCTATTAAATAGACCTCTTGCCACTAGAAACAAACAAACAAACACTATTTGTTTATTGTGATGGATTGAACATAAATAGTTTGATTCTCTTCAGATTTATTTCCATTAAGTACCTCAACTTAAGGGGGAAATAAAGTCTCACAAACAAAGATTTCATCATTATAAGCTCTAAAATGCAGTTATAATAGAAAAGGTAACTCATGTGTAGCTAAGTACCAAAAAATCATCGTAAAACAAACATTCTAAATAGTAAGAGAGCAAACAGTTTGTCATAGAAGTATAATAAAGTCACTCAGAAAATGTGTATCACATGGAACAAAAGCAGTTTTCGATAGACTCTCAAAGGTTCTTCTTTTTAACGTTTTTTTAATGTTTTAAATTATATTTACAATGGACTTCATAAAATATATTACACATTAATTCATTTTGTTACTGACTACTCATGCCACTTTCCCTCTTCAATAAATACCAAGTTCCCTCTGGCTTTTTGTAAATCCATGCATTAGAGGAAATGACAAAGGTATTAAGAGATTTTTATATGGGCATCAAATGCCCACACTGTCATCAGGGGCTTGAGCTCTGTTCAAAGTAATTCATTATTGCATAAAAGGATCAGCTGATAAAGTCTATATCCCCCACCATGCTGCGAAATCCTGAATTAACAACCACAGGCTAACACTTTGAATGAAGCATTGTTCTTTAACTAGCAACAAAGCCATGAATATTTGACTTATCTGAAATGGGGGGAAATGTCATAAATAACAATCTCTAAGTAAATAGTGAAGGGACATTTTCTGGCATAAATAAAATGACAAATAAAGGCAGCAGATCATTAGATGAATCAAGTTTTAACTCTCCATTTTACAAAGCACAGAGAGATCTAATCGGAATTAAGTTTCCCTCCTAGTTTAATATATGTCCTTTAGATAAAGTGACATGTTCAGCCTTCATCTGAACTCTGAGCAGGAGGGAGTGTAAAAGTCTGATGGTAAGTGCCCTATCTTAAGGACCTCTATCAAGAATCAATCAATGTTAATGTACAAAGCTGGGGTCAGGGGGAAGAAGGCAGAAGGTAATACTGAATCTTAACAATCACCAAAGTGATATCGTAATCATATGTCTACAGGAAAAGGACCAAGATTCAAGAAAAGAAAGAAAATTTGATTAGGGTACCAGTGGGAAGGTGTGAAAGAGTAGGTATATATTTACACATTACCAGTTATCTGCATCATCTCAATAAAGAAATGTGAAAGTAAAAGTAGGATGTATTTTTCTCTTTTCTTCTTCCTATAGTGATGTTGGGAATGCTATTTACCTAACTTTCCCTGTTCTCTATGCTCCTCTCCCTCCCCTATCTTCCTCCAGGACTCAGGTCTGAATTTAGGGCCAGCAATGCTTCACCTTTAGGGCCAGCAATGCATCCTCACAGCAGAAAGGCTGGATTACTCCCAGGGAGCTGCCTTCCAGAAATATACCCCTTCCTTACTCCTCAGAACCAAGAGTCCCCTTCCTTCCTCTCACCCTAGATAGCTCTCCTTCTCTATCCACCCTGTAGATTAGAGCTGAATTGTCCAAGAGACTCTCAGGGGATTCAAGCAAAAAGGAAAGGAAAAAAGGAATTGAAGCAGTAATGTTTAAGGGCCTGTTAAATTATTTATAATTCAGAGAAAAGTTCTAAGAACTGGTGGGATAAATGGGTGAGTGACCCAGCCAACTGTTTTCCCCAAAGCACTTTCTTGGAAGAAGCTGGAAAAGTCATGGCAATTCTTTGCAGGCAGGAATGGTCATGTGACAACTATGAAAGCAAATGAGTCCTAAACAGATTCTTTTCTAGTCCCTCTTTGCTTGCATTACGGCCTTCACGGGGGAAGATCGTTGAGGAAAGGCAGACGAGATGCACAGTGGTGCCAGCTCTGTCAACACTGAGAGGATGAACTAACACCATGAGGCATCCACCTTCAGATAATTTGTTACATTTTCTATTTAAATCACCACTTATTTAAGCTACTATAGTCAGATGTTGTGGTCTTTGGCAGAAAACATTCCTCAATGGTACAACTAGATATTCCTTTTTTTTTTTTAATAAATTTTATTTCTATATTCCCCATACAATTGCAACCCCCTTATTTTGACCCCAATCTAGATCTTCCTTCTTAAACAAAGCCAGCACGCCAAGCTTCACTTAATTCCACTGCTATCCATGTTAATGAACTTTGGTAAGCTAAAATAAGTTTTGGAAACTGTGTGAGCAGGAAGTAAAAATAAGAGCTGCCATTTCTGGAATGATTACAGGCTATGGGAATCAGCCTTTATACGGATTAAGTCACTGAGGCTTCATGACTCGTTCAGGTGGGTAGTGACAGCCTCCTATTTTACATTTGAGAAAGTGCTCTGAATGTCTTCCAGAACACTGGGTCATCAGTAAAAGTCAGCAAATGCAGACTCAAGTCTGAATGCAAGTCTCTGACTCACAATTCCTTTTCAGGTCAGAAGAATGGATCCTTAGAGCATGACAGTACAATGCACTGAGAGTCTTATGCCAAGAATGTGCTGTACAATAAAACCATGAGCAGATGATATAAAATGATAAAACATCGAGGTGGCACCTCCCCATCAAGGACCCTGTGCATCTTAAACATCACTCCATTATACTGGCAGCACGACTGTGACCCCCAGGTCAGGACACAACCTAGAGACCTTGAAAAATATATTTATTAAAATATTAAATATTTAAATATTGTGTTATGGACACAACCTAGAGGTCTTGAGAAAAATATTTTTGGGAGAACAGCACAGCACAGACCCAACTATTTATATTCAATGGATTAGGCACCCTCACCAAAGTCAGATAGATATAGATATCCAAGAGTAAATCTTGTTTGAGGACAGAATGAGAAAATTTTTTTTTTCCAGTTTCATTTGGAAATAGTTTCATCTTAAGCAGGAATATTTAACCGTGAAAACTCCAATTAAAATACAGGAGTCTGACAGGTAATGGTGAATTTCAGTAAGAAAAAGGGACAGAGGTCAGTCATTTTGTTACATTTAGTCATACAGGACTGCCAATACTTGATCGTTTGATCTGTCCAATTTATGACAGCACTGGGTACACGGGAGCCCTGAGTCATTTCAAAGCAGGATTTCCAAAACCCTGGTCTCTCAGCACAGTAGGCAGGCATTCCATGGGTTAAACTGGAAATGAAGGCCTTTCAACAGGTTTTCAGAAATTCTAAATTATTTTTGTAATTTTTCCCGGGATGATAATATTTGAAATACTTTTCCTTTTATTCTCTCTTCTATATCTTTTCACAGGTATAAAATGTTTGTATTTGTATCTGACCCTGTCATAAAGTAATGACTAAATCTTTTAAAAGAACTTTGGAATTCAAGAATCTAATGTAAAATCTAGGTAAGCTTGGGTTTAATTCTGAGATTGCATTTTTTTAATCCAAAAAATGGCAGATTTGGGGCCTCCCCAGTGGCGCAGAGGTTGAGCGCTAGGTTGCGAAGCTGCCTGCAGCCTCTGCAGCGCCAGTTCAATCCCTGGCCGCTGGGCAAGGGTCCCACATGGCGCACAGACCTCTCCTGCTTCCTGCTGCTCCCCTCAGCAGTGTACTACGGTCCTTCTGCCTGTTCTG